TGACACCCTTCGTATGTGCACACAATCTGTTTAGCATCGACTACTGCGGTCGGCTAGTAGTAGCCCTGTCGGAATGCATTTTCGACCAGGGTCCTAGGCATGGCATGGTGCCCATAGACGCCACCGTGGATATCACTCAGCAACTGCTTCCCTTGTTCAATGGGGATGCAGTGCTGCAGGATCTTGGTGTGTCTTCGCCTGTAGAGCTTCTAGCGGCGCTTGGTGTCCTAGTCCGTCGACCCTCCGAAGATCATGAGGCAGCCATCTAGTGTCGAAAAAACATCATCCTTCCCCTCGGCGTCGTCTGCGGCTGGTTTGGGCTCCTTCCTATGCCCCCTTGTTGGAGCCTCCGGACAAGAACTGCTTCATGAGGACGTAGTCCTTGTATAGGTGCTTAACGAGGAAAGCATGGTTCAGGCATGGCCCCTTCGAGCAGCTTCTCGAAGTGGTCCAGGGTACCCTCGGTGGGCTTCCAACCCCCCTTGCGGTCGGCAGTGGCCACGAGCGAGCCCTCGTGCCGCTGCTTGTTCTTCTTCTTGTTGGGGCGGTTGGAGGCGCCTTCGCCGGCGTCCTCGTCCCGCTTCGCCTTGCCCTTAGGCGATCGAAAATCGCCCCGACCGCCTCCTCGCCCAAGGCGTGGCTGGTGGTGATGTCGAGGAGCTCCTTGGTGGTTCGTGGGCCCTTACGTCCCAACTTGTGAACCAGGGACTCGCAGATGGTACCTGACAGGAAAGCTCCTATGACGTCGGCGTTGGTGACGTTGGGTAGCTTGTTGCACTATCGGGAGAAGCGCCGGATGTACCCACGAAGAGTTTCCCCAGACTTCTATCGGTAGTTTTTGAGATCCTATGGATTCCTAGGACGTGCGTATGTGCCCTAGAAGTTTCCCACGAAGATCTCTTTTAGGTCCACCCAACTTTTGATTCGATTGGGCGGAAGGTGTTCCAACCATGTTCAGGCCAAATTGGCCAGGAACAATGGAAGGTTGCAGATAATGAAATTGTCACTATCCGCTCCACCGGCTTGGCAAGCAAGCCGATAATGCTTGAGCCATAGTCCGGGGTTTGTTTCCCTAGAGTATTTTGGGATGTTGGTCGACGGCCGGTACCACGGTGGGAAGACGACGTTGAGGATGTGTCGGCCAAAGGCCTGAGGTCCCGGCAAGTCAGGGATCAGGCTTCGATCCTCACCGCTATCATGGCGTCCGCCACGATGAGGGTGGTAGCCACGGCTAGCCTCCTCCCTCTCATCACCGTGGGCACGCCTGCGGGCATCTAGGGTGTCGCGCGTGTCACGATGGAGGCCGAGACGCTCATGCATTGGGACTACGACGCGTGGCCTGCTGCCTCGCTGCGCCTAGTGGACTGACACGTCCCTATCGTGTCGCTCTGAGGGCCTGCGATGGCTGGCGTAGAGCTCGTGTCGTTGGGATAGCAAGCTCTTGGCCTGCTGCGCCACCGCATGCTCGAGTAGCGTGTGAATCTCGTGATGGGTCTGACAATCCTCGGGTGTCGCGGGCTCCGAAAGGCCCGGAGCAAGGGCGTCACGGCAGCGACGTTCTGGCTTGCCCGGGTGAAGTGTGGGAGGGATTTGTCGTCCTCGATGATACTTCGGTTCACGTCGCGGGCCACGGCATGCGCATGCCCACCTTCTCCATGGCGCTCGATCTCTCGGTCGAGCTCCGCGTGTTCCTGCTTGAGCTGGAGTCATGCTTCGTTGAGCTCTTGGTGTCGTGCCCTCAGCTGCTTTACCCGCAGGCGAGGTGGGGCCCCTGCATCCCCCTCGACCTCATCGTCAAGGTCGTCTGTTGGGGTAGCCCCTCCCTCATGGATGCTTTCAATGTATCCCTTGGGGGTACCTGCCATGAAACATTCCCACGAGGGGTGATGGCTCCCCCTGCTGGAGTCAGAGTTGGAGGGCAACTTGGATTCTCCCGCAAGAAGGTCGTGGAAAGATTCCATGATGTATTCGGTCATCCCCACTAACTCATCATTCGTAGGGGATGGGGGCATGCACTGTGCCACAAGGTGGCCAACGGTCTCTGTGGCGTGGCGCAGACCGAACGGGAGTGCTGTCAAGGCGCTCCGGATGAGGTATTCTAGGGAGAGCGGCTCTCCTTCGACAAGTTGTGTCATGACATTGGCAGACGAGAAGGTGAGGCGGCGTAGGTCCTCTCGGGATGGTCGGGGTCCCAGGAAGGCGCCGAGCTGGCGCTCTAGCCTCTCATAATCGAAGCCAAGGAGTTGGTCGCTCTCGAGGGCATGGGCCTCCGGTGCATGCAGCTGCAGCTCCTCAAGAGCCTCAATGATTGAGCGGAGTGGAGAGGTTGGACGGCGGCGGGAACCTGCGTCAACTCTCCCTCCGTTGTAATGATGAAGTCTAGGTTCCCGAAGCGCACGTGCGCGCCCGGGACCCAGCTGATGCCGTGACTAGCCATCGGAGGCCTGATGTGGACATCGAGATGTGCAAAAAAGCCCCTACCTGACGCACCAACTATCGGTGTTTTCGGACCACCAACGAGTAAATTTGTATTTGCGCGTCTGGCTCGGATGGTGTGCTCGAAGGACACAAGGGTTTATGCTGGTTCGGGCGGAACGTCCCTACATCCAGTTCATCGCTGCTCGTGTTATCGGCACTTGGTTTGCAATAGGGGTTACAAATAGGCGAGACAGGGAAAGGATCCCAAGTCTCTGGTGGAAGGAGTGAACGGGTGCTGAGAGCTCGATTGCCGCTCGTGTTGTGCTCTTGTGTTTCGATCTCGTGTTTTTTTCCCCCCTCCATGAGGTGCCCTGCTTCCCCTTTTATAGACGAAGGGAAAGAGCGGGTTACAGAGGAGAAAAAGTAGAAGAACCAGAGAGAGAGGAAGGCTTCCATGGTCGTCGGGTTCTTCTCCTTCATGCGAGTCCCGCTGATCCTGTAGATGTCAACTGGGATGGTTCCATGTCGTGGCCCTGTTCATCACTGGCACCATGCGCAGGCGTCATCTACCGATCAATGCGCTCCACTCCATCCCGGCAGACGTCATGGTGAACTGACGCGCCTGCCAACGTCCATACGAGGGTTAGGCAGAACAGCACCGGCACGTTTGACACTGTTCTTGATGTGAATCCCTAGGTATGGCCCGTCATGGACACGGGTCACATTGAGGCGTGCCAGCCTCCTCCCTGGCGTCAGAGTTTTGATCCAGGCCCATACGCTTGGACCTGGAGTGGTTGGCGGCGGTATGGGTCCCCATCGGACGAGATGGAACCCACGTCCTCGAGGCCGGGCGAGACGGAGCCCGAGGTCAGATGAGACAGAGCCCGTGGCCTTGGGGTTGGGCGAGACGGAGCCCGTGGCCTTGGGGTCGGGTGAGACGAAGCCCGCGGCCTTAGGGTCGGGCGAGACCTTTTAATACGTCACGAGCCATTCGGGGAAGTCAGCATGGGTGCTAACTTCCTTGCTTTGGGTATCCCTACTATCGACACCCGACACGAGGTGACCTGCGTGGAGTGGCGGCGGGCGGTCCCGCTCTGCGACGATCGTTCCGGTGCAAGGAGGTGCTCTGATGGCTGCTGGAGTTGGCGTGTGGCACTTCTACCTTTGCTGAGGCAGCTAGGTTGCTAGAAGCGACATTTTGTGTGTGTGGATCTTGGTGACGGGGTCGGCTTGGTGAGTGCTAGAGGCAGCCGCCCACGATTGGGTTGGCAGCTTGCAGCGGACTACGGCGGCTAGCCCTGCTTGGCAGTGGCTAGTCCGGCGTGGGACGACATCTTCAGAGGCGGCGCAAGCGGATTCAATTACGGGAAGGCTACACGGCTCACAGCGGCCTACGGCGACTAGCTCTGCTTCGTAGCGGGCTACCTTGGTGTGGGACTTCGTCGGCGACGACGGCGCGAGCGGTGATGACGGCATTTCGTCTTGACGTCTTCGGCGTCCGGGGGACGGCAGTACAGTGTGGCGACCGACTGATGGTGGTTTGGAGGCGGTGCGATGTATGGCTTCTTTGAGTTTTTTGGCTTTGTTTAGCTCGTGTCAATGCCCTAATCCGGCCGTCCTAATCAGCAACTCTCCTGCCTGGTTTGTTTCAAAAAAACAGTCGGGCGCATGGCTCCGGTTCAAATTTATAGTGCCGAGTTAGTTTCAGGTAATACTCCCACGTTTTGGCTAAAACTGACTAAAAAAGTGAACTTATATTGCAAACGAAAAAGAAAGTGGACCTAATTTTCTCATTAGCTCCAGAATGTCAGCAGTGCTAGTCTATTCGTGAAATTGGACTGATCTCTAAAAGCAAAGCTAATATGATGGGGGTGCCAATTTCATGATAACGGCAATGAACATAACATTCATGTGATGAACACCATTTCAGCACTAAAATATGCTTGGAAGCCATCATTACATATCCTGTTCCTCTCATTCTGATCATCCCATTATCTCGGTGCAAAGCGCACACACCATCTTTTGAAAAAAGGCAAAGGGGGAAAACATGGTGATAACTTTGTCACAAAGGAGGACGAGGATTTGATTGATTGACCATCCACCATCACAGTTCGCTAGTGTGGTGAAATAGTATCAGAAGAAAACTTTTTTAACTTCTATATTCTCAGACGCCAAGGCTCACCAGACCATGTACCAGGCCATCATGGAAGAAATTCACCTTTCATGCGAGGATGACGCAACAATCCCCATTCCTAAAACACCTGGAGGAGCTTGTAAAATTTACAGCATGGCATGGGGGCGAAATTTCCACCACTGCCCTGGGGGCGTTGCCACGCAAGTTTCTCCAACTCTAGGCAATGTTTTTTTTTACCCGGTACACACTATTCAAGATGCTGTAGTGAATACTAAATCCCTCACTGACAGCACCAATATTCATGCAGACATACAGATATTACTACCGCCGACGAGCTGAGTGTACTCATGGTTACCTAGACGAATGCTGCAAAACAATGGGGATTCCGATGTACTGTGCCCAAGTTCACAACGAGCTTGCAGGTGTTTCTCCAAGTTGTGGGTGGGTCTTACAATGGACATTCAACTAGCAATCCATGCTGTTGAACCTGGATGCAATGGACATGGAGCACATATATGGAGAATCATATCTTGTTTTCTTTTAGCACATACTCCACATGGTTATACAGCCTCCATAAAGTTGCATCATCCTAACCAAACAAAAACAGGTGATGGTCAGTGCTAATACAGTGAGGCGAGAGGCGACAAATTTTGCATTACTTAGAAACTGATTATGTTTTCAATGCGTATGAGTCGCAATAGCGTTTATTTAAAATGATAAATATTTCGAACATACCAATTCTCCCAACTTCAAGGTTATTTGATCAGATTTCTGACTTGCCAGTTTCCTAACCGTAATTATCTCCACGACACGATTAAGTGCCTCCTCTGGGAGCTTTCGGATGCGCTTCCCGAGTTCAATCTTCTCCTCAGTACTCATAGGTCTTCCGATATACAACAATTCAACAAAAGGATGGTGTATTGTCAGATATTAAAACAACTGATTTGTAATTCTGCAGGGGAGGAAAAATGATATGCAGCTCAGTGAAATGTGACTATGTGAGTACTCAATTATGCTATTGTAGTCTTCAGACCGTAGGATCTCAAATTCTTAAAAGTGACATAAATAAGCATATAGTTCATTTCATATGACGAGTATGGCACCTGCATTTGGATGCTGCTGTATTTAGCAGGTCATCAACACCTTGCGCCATTTTACCAAGCTGAAAAGAGAGAAATACCACACTTTAGAACTCTTACAATGTAGTTTGACGTATTATTGCTAGAAAGACTATCCAAGCATCAAGCTATGCATACCTTTCCCAACAAACCAGCAGATAACTTCTTCATATCCTCTTGATATGTTTCACCACATTCTTGCATTCCATGAATATCTCGATCAACCTGCAAGCAGAAAAGATAAAGTGAACAAGTTTCCACGGTCGGCTAACTTGATACGTAATTTGGCCTAGCAGAGTACCAAATAAATCTGGTTGCCTAACTGCAGGATTATCAGGTGTGAAGATCACAGAAGTGAGAAACTCTCCTGCATCCTATGCATCGTCACAAAAGACAGTTGGTCTCTGAAATTATAGCTAAGATGAAGATATTCTGTGCAAGAAAAAACATAAAAGCTATGTTATGTTTTTTTTTTCTGTTGTATAGGCCAAAATAAAATGTGGCGCATGGTCTGCCAAGCATAACAGTTGGTTCCAGAATAGACTACTCCACCTGTTGAAAGACACCTGAATGGTTGGTTACAAGAGCACCTCCGGCCCCATCCTCAATTGATGAACTCTCATCTTCATTAGTACCCCTCCAATCTGACTTTGCCCGGTCATCTTCCCGGCAATGGTTACCCTAATGATCTAACAATCATAACGTCAGGTATCAGGTAGCTCTAGTTTCAATCTGATTCCATGGCTTCTACTGCCGATAATTCCAACGCTCACATTGAGGAGTACTGTTGCTTCTCCAAGGGGATCGATCACATGATTGTGTTGATTGTCTCCATCCAAGTTCTTGTTGAGGAGAAGATGGATCAGGAACATCGGGTGGCAGAGTGTGTTACGGCAGCAGCACATGGATTCCTCATGAGGTGAGAGGCCAACAGAAGATACCTGCCCCTGCAGGTGGATTTGGCTTCATCGCTGCTTCATATTGTCGGGACCATCGCTCACCCACATCGTTCTGACTAGGGGCCCGGGCGGGGGGGTGGGGGGGATTGATGATGGGGCCGCGCTTGCAGCCCTTGTGGCAAATGATGTAGTTCATGCACCGCTCAGCCCTGCGGTTCCTTACCAAGTTCATGCACCGCTCAGCCCTGCAGCTTTGGACGTGGACATCCATCCTTCCAACACACACATGGACATGATGGTCACCTCGGGTACATGGATCAAAGCAGACGAAAACAGATGGAACCCTTTAACCATTTTTGTTTCCACATTTGATCACCGAAAACGAAACCAGGATCCGGATAGCCGAGAATGGGAACGAAAATGGGATACGCGGGAATGAACAAATTAGAACAGGAACCTGAAACTTAAACTAGGATCATGATAAGCTTAGTGGGCCTATGTGGCATATAAAGCGCCTTACAAGTATTCTTGAGGGCCCCTCAGGAGGACTTCTAAATTCTTAAGCAAATTTGTCATGAAAACCTAAATGTTCTTTTTAGAAAGGTTGCTAGAATAACAATTGCTCAAACTTATCCTAGATTTTGTAAATACATGATGAATATGGGTCTATCATGCCTAAACACAGGATCCTGCAAAAATAGACGGGAGACACATCTCCCGCTTCCTATAACATTTTTGTATTTTTCCACAAATAGGAAACATGCGGGATAAATGTTGAAAACAAAACGAGCCAGGACAGATTTAACCTGTCCGTTTTCAACCTTAGGACCATGGCCCAATACACCACAACTGAAATGTGGCACCAACGGTCTAGCTCTTCACCCCAAAAAAAAAAACTTGATCAAGTACAATATCACACCACATTGCTCTTGCTCTAAGCTGTGGAGTTGTGCGTGCTATGCTGGTGGTTTTCCATGGGATCCAGGAGTCCATGCCATCATGTTTGCCCACTGCTAGGTTCCTTATTTTAGTTGCATATTTAAAATGAAGCTAGAATGTAAAAGGCTTCTTTCATCATGTTGTAGGCTTGCACATTCGATGCATATCAAGTTTGGCATCAAGTGCAACCTCTAAAGGTGGGAGTGTTGTGGTGCATCAATCAAGGGGCTAGGAGTCATTATATTTACTCCCTCCATCTCAGAATTTAAGGCACAATTTGACTTGGTTCGGTCTTCAAAAACATATTTTGACCTATAATTTCTCTTATAATCTATAATTTATAGAAACAAACATTTGACCATTAAAAGAAATTTCTAGATAGTCCAAATAGAAATCTAATGTAACTACTTTCAAAGTATAAACTTTTTATATGATTAGGCTAATTGTTAGCAAAGTTCAGCTAGGCGCTGGGCGGAATCTAGGCGCTGACCCTCAGCCTAGCGCCTAGGCGTTTTCCAATACATGCTTAAATTTATTAATACATACTTAAGTACTTAAAAGAAAAGAAAAAATAGAAGACCAATGGTCATGGAACAGGGAGAAGAGAGAAGAAAGGCCCATAAAAACGGCCCAACCCACCTTGTCCACCGTTAAAACGGCCCAACGCACCTTATCCACGCCTCCTCCCACACCGCCCGCCGCTTGCCGGCTCGCGCCGCTCCAGCTTGTGCTGCCTGCCCCTCACCATGAGCGCCCGCCGCCAAGAAGCCTGCCGCCACAGACGCGCCGCCGCCGCCAGCACAAGCCAGCGCGGCAGCGCGCCGCCGCCTTCAGCAACTCCTCTCCCCCCCGACCGACGACCTCCGCCAGCGCCTCCACCACCACCACCGCCTGACGAGCGACGCCGCCGCCTAGGGGTCCGCCTACCCCCATAGGCGAGGCGGACACCCTCCGACTAGAGCCTAGTCGCGCCTAGGCGAGCGCCTAGCGGAACTATGATTGTTAGTCAAAGATAACAAACTTTGATTTTGAAATACGTGCAGGCCCTATATTTTAGGATGGAGGGAGTAGTTACAGAGATAGGGTTAGCTAGAGATGATTAAATAAGGTTGTTGGGAGGCACGACAATCAATTGAGGAAAGCAAGAAAAGAAGAAAAAAAAAATCTCCCCCTCCAATGTAGCCCCCCTCAAAATTTTACTCGGTTATCTTCCTAGCAATGCTTACCCTAATGGTCTAAGGATCATATCAATAAGCAAACATGACTCTTTAACTAAACCTAAGGGACACTTGTCACCTTGACAGGGATTGGTAGCAAATTCTATCACTAGAATTGATGACCTTATCAATCATGATACCAAAGCTTGAGATGTGATAGAAGGAATGCAAAAATACATGAACTTCCCATGATTTATTATGTCCCTTTCAAGTCACCCTTCTTTTGTTCACGCCGAGCCAGCCATGCGTTGCATATTTGTCTTAAATGCAACCATCAATTGAAGACTAACTACAAGAATTTGGCATTGCAACTTCCAAGCACATGAGACTTGGCCTGAACTGGATTGGACTAGTTGGCGTAACAAGAGTTAGTGTTTGGTAGGGTCGGGAAGGTGTGGGATTAATGGAAAATGTATTTGTGTTATGCTAATGCTAATGCTAATGCCAACGGAAATTGCCAAGACAAAGACGAAATCTAAACACACTACATTAAACATTTATAATGTAAACATACCTTTGATGATCCACATCTTCATGTCTCGAAGTACCGAGCATGTTAAATTAGTGATAAGATTGGAGACCACTCAAAAGGACACAACAATGAAAATTCTATAAATGCACTTGGCTATAGACATAGCATAGCATAAGAACCACCTAAAGTGGATACACCACCATTGCTACATTGATATACAACATTATGTATTAAGACAAAAATGCAAAAGGGCCTCTAGCTAAGTTGGTTAGGTGACTTGAGTAGCACTCTTTGGGTCCTAGGTTCAACTCACCACGGGAGCAAATTTTTATGCTGGGATTTTAAAAAAAATGCCCTCATCTATCACAAGACAAAGCACAGGTCTAAGGCCTAGCTCCGATCGTTCTCGCATGGGCTACCATGTTGCTGAGTATGGGTAGGGTAGGGGTTCAGGGGGTTTCTCGACCTGCGTGAGGTTTTCTTCTTAATGCAATGCATGGGGCTTTCTTCCCTCCCGTAGGTCAAGTTTTTTTCGTTAAGATAAAAATGAAGTGTTCAATGCTATCCACCAAGTCTATGGTAGCAAGAACAAAAGCTATCGTGAATTAAATAAAGCGTTTGAGAGCACTCACACCCTAGGAACAATAATATCGTCAACAAAATAGTCCACCATGAAAAGCCCTCTAAACTAAGGCCTACTTCAATAGCATTGACCTTTCGACGTGGTTCGTGTTTGCGATCCAATTAATTTGGCACAGGTGGTCCACCATGGCTCGAATAGACTTCTTTTTAATTCAACAATGTATCACCTATACCCTATCCATCTGCTTTGTTGTCATTTACATCACTTAAAACCCTAGCCATGATGCCAAAACAAAGAATATGAAAACAAGAATTGAAGAATAGAAGGTACTCAAGGCATGAAAGAACATCAAAGCCAGAATTGAGGCCAAGCACCAAAGCCACGGTAGAGACCTGGTCAATGTAACCCCAATAGGAACCTTAGAACCTGATGATGTTCCCATAGAATTAAGTTTTATGAAAGAAACTTCCTTTAAATACCATTCACCAAATTTCTAGTTTTGCATGTTTAGCAATTGATTATCAGAAACAGACCCAACCCCTTATGATCAAACTTTTGCCCATTTATTGTCATATATGAGAAAAGAATAAGGACACTTTTCAAGAAGGTACCTCAAGGATTTTGTGAAAGCTAACCAAATTCATAAAGTATGATGGATGATGAATATAATAAACCAACAATGACAAGTTTATACCTCATCAAGATCATCGTTGAGGATTGTAATAATCTCATGAAGTGTGTATTTTATTCCCTCCTTATCATTCTTTGATAGGCCACTGATTTGTTCCGCAAATAATGGTAAGGCTCTAATGCAAACATGGCCCTCTTTAGATTGAGTATCAGTGCCTTGAGCTTTGTTACTAACTCCTTTACAAAAAGAACCACCCTTCTCCGGCAACAATTTAGCCAGAACATTTTTGTAGTGCTCCAAATGATTGACATTAGAATCATTTCCCTCGAAAGATTTCCTTGACATTTTCCTATATTGTAATCGACTGCACAAGCCAAGACCAAAGTTAACAAGATGATGCGATTTCACATCATCAATGAGAACACCAACAGTTTGAATGGTATTGTAGCTATGAATGGCCAAACGAGCAGCCTAGCCGGACACAACACGAGCCCAATTAGGCACAACCCACCTCGACTTAGGCAGATATGGCCCTATTAACAATCATGTCATGTCGTGCCATCCCATGGGCTTACTTGGTAGCCCAAGCACGACACTAGGCATTGTCAACCGTGTCGTCCTAGCCCGACTTGCCCAACAGTTCCATGGGTTGTGCAGCCCAATAGCCAGACACCCAATACCAAGAATGAATAAAATCACAAAACATGGCTCAAAAAAATTACAAATGAACCAAAAATGCATGCAGAGATCACAAATCCATCATCCATACATACCGAGATCAAATACATCTTCCATCTCCTTGAGCTGTCGTCCAGGGCCTCCGACCTTCACCCCAACATGCTTGCTACTTGCGCTAATGGGAGAAGAAGTTAGGGTGGTGTTGAAGATGAGCCATAGCAGTGGAGTATGGAGGAGAATAGCTAGGGCGGCAGTCAATGGCTAAGAAGATGAGGGCAGTCGCACGTTGATCGCCTCTATGACGGGCATGCGGAGCTAGGAGGTTGGGAAATAGGGACTGAGGTACTAGGGTTACAGTGCCAGTAATAGCCACGTATATATGTGTAGGGGTCGACTGGCTGAGGGTGACGTCTTGCCCTTAAGAGGCCGTTAGTTAATGGGGTTGCGCCCATGCTGAACTGCCATGCCGTCCCCTTCGCCCAAGCACGACACAATGTGTGGGTCAACCTCATGTCAAGCCAACAGCTACAGTCCTCGAGCCAGCCTACTAAGCTAACCTATTTAGAGCAAATTGTCCTAACCCAACCCTTTCTCTGACCATCCTCCACTACCCAGCTAAGCAGCAACATCCCTACTGCCTCTATGGTTAACCCTCCAAGATCTTGTTTGACAAAAACTTGCCATACAGATTAGAATGGATTGAAGGGATATTATTTCGTCACCCCTCCCAATTCCCTCTAATCCCCTGAGA